GTCATTTCCTTAAATTTCTATGGAGGTAATTCTAGTATTTAGTAACAAAGAGAGGTACACACATATTAAGTACATACATATGTAAAGCATATATCATAATTGACTAAGATATGCTTCAAGTTATTATGAGTCTGAAAGTGAGAACTTAAAATGCTTGGTTAGTACTTCTGCATCAGACTGGGTTAGGCTGTTAGCAGGGAGAACTGTTCTCAAAAGAATCCAAAATAATTCAGTGAAGTTTAAAGCCTGGGAAGTAAAACTGTTCTGATGAAGCATGGTTGAAATTGTATTTACTGCCTTTTTAAATTAATAAAAACAGGGATGGGGACTGGAAATCTGTACAGTTCTGATTTATCCCTCAAACTCATAAACCTACTTCTTAATAAAGTGATGACTTGCAAGATCCTACTTAATGCAATTGTATGCCTTCTTAGCTTGCAGTGAGTTTTACCACCTACAACAGGAGGAGAAACCCCATACTTATCCCTTTATTAGCCTGGACCAATGAAATTTCAGAAGTAAAAAATATTGAGTTAACTTTATTCTCACAGGAAGGAGAAGTTGCCATTAAAGCAAAAACCATATCATATTCCAGAAAGAGTTAAAAATGTAGGAAGAAAGTAAGTCCCTTAGGAAAAAAAGACCCTCGACTCCATTTGGTTGAAGTGATAGGTTCTTTTACTAAAGGATATTGGTTGCAGCAAAGTTAGGTTTTTGAACTAAGTCTCCCACATGAAAAAGATATGAAATGTTTCCCCTTGTCCCAGCCCTCTCCCCATGACCAGTCTGTCTTCAGCCAATGAAGATTCACCTAGGTGTTTTGAGAACACTGAGATGTTTGGGGTAATCCACATTCTTTTTCAGCATGCATGACCTTGTGTGCTGGTGCAAACTGGTTCTGAGCTTCTCTGTTCTTTATCAACCTGTCATTCCCCCCTCCCCATTTCCCATCACATACCCATACAGGTTTATTGCCCATTTGTTCCTGCCTTGCCCCTTCCCTCCTAGCCTTTGATGGCAGGAAGCCAGTGAGGTGCCAAGCCAAAGATGGCAGACCTGACATACAGTATGTTCTACAGCTAATTAAGACAAAAGCCTCAAACTAAATCAGATTTTATATAGACTTAAGATATCACAAGTAATAAATCAAGTTTATAATAACCGTCTGCCTATAGTAGATGATCAACTAGTTCAACTGAAAAGAGTAAAATACTTAAGCCAGACTTAGAAAGGTCTATAGGCAAATTTGTCTCCAGGCAACCTCCAGAGAAATCAGTTTTTATTACAATTCAGAGGCCATTCTAATTTCAAATATGCCTTTTGGTTGTAAGGGACCTCCTGTTGGGGAGGTACTATGAAGCATATCTGGAAAATATCATTATTTACAACTCTGTTTGGAAGAATACTTGCAGCAGTTGAAGAATTTATTTCCAGTCTTGAAGCAGCAGGCTTAACTGTCTATCTAGGCAAAGGTTACCTGGGGTTTTCTGAACTGCATAACTAAGGTTACATAGTGGACTAGCAAGGAATTAACCCAAAAGTAAAGAAGGAAGAACTAGCAGGAGTAGCCAACACCCCAGAAGACAAACTCAGGATCCAAAAAGATGTTGACAAACCTGAACAATAGCCCCTATCCAACAAAATGAGTTTCAATGTGGAGAAAAGCAAAGTTTTACATTTAGGTAGGAAAAATCAAAGGTACAAGTACAGATTGAGCAAGACCTAGCTTAAAAACAGTAACTGTGAGAGGGACCTTGGAGTCCTAGTGGACAATCACTTGATTATGAGCCAGCAGTGTGCAGCAACAGTCAAAAAAGCTAATACAATCCTGGGTTATATAAACAGAGGCATAGAATCAAGATCATGTGAGGTATTAGTACCACTTTATAAAACCCTAGTAAGACCACACCTGGAATACTGCAGCCAATTTTGGTCACATATCACAAAAAAGATGTTGAGAGTTAGGAAAAAATTCAGAGAAGAGCAACAAAGATGATCAAAGGCCTAGAGACTAAAATATACGAAGAACGGCTGCAGGACTTGGGATTGGCTCGTTTAAAGAAAAGAAGAAATATGGGAGATAAACTAAAATGATCAAAGGCCTGGAGACTAAAAGAAGAAACAGGGGTGACATGATAGCAGTATTCCAGTATTTGAGGGGCTGCCACAAAGAAGAGGGAGTCACATTATTCCCCAAAGCACTAGAGAGCAGGAAAAGAAACAATGGTTGGAAACTGATCAAATAGAGAAGCAACCTGGAATTTAGGAGAAACTTCCTGACAGTGAGGATAAATAACCAGTGGAATAGCTGGCCCCGAGAAATCGTGGGCGCTCCATCACTGGAGTTTTTTTAAAAAGAGGCTAAACAGTCACTTGTCTGAGATGGTATAGGTTCTCCTACTTGAGCAGGGGGCTGGACTAGAAGACCTCCAAGGTCCCTTCCAGCTCTATTCTATTCTATTCTATTCTATTCTATTCTATTCTATTCTATTCTATTCTATTTTGGAATTAGTGTAATACTGTGGATGGCTTGTTTCTTGCTTTTCTACCAAGGCAGAAGTTCTCATAGATTTAACTAGAAAGAAGGAAACGGATAAAGTTGCCTGTTCTCCTTTGTTATTAAAACATATTAAGATTGCAAATGCTCACAGATTTTAAGGTTATGGAGAATCAATAATATTTGTTTTTTCACAAAATTAATATGTGTAGTTTCTTGAAATTTTCTTCAGAAAATAGGTTTCTCCTATCCTACCTTATGTCCTTTTTTTTGCTTTATTTAGCATGCAATATTTTTTTATTTGTGGATGGATGTACTTACATATACACATTTTTAATGCTAGCTGATAACAGGTTATGAATACATAGTTTTTCACTCAAAAGTACTGTATGGTACTATAATCCTTTATTTGCTTTTCTGGTGAAAAAGTATATCATAGGATGTTGGAGTGTGTGTTTTCTATGCATGTTCTTGAAAGATGATGTTTTTGTGTTGTCTTGACTTAGAGCTGATCTGAAAAGTTGACAAATTGCATTTCGTGAGCCTGATAACTTGTTTTCCACAAAATAATTACATAAATTACAGCAATTTCTAAATTTTGAATTACTGTATAAAATAAATACTGCTCTTCTTGACATTGGCACTCTATATATGGGTACTTTTGAACAATTCCTCCTTTAAGAACAGTTCTGCTAACTTTAACAGCTCATACGAAACCAAGCAGTCTGTTTAGTTAGCTATGTCAATTTATAATTTCAGGGGTGTCAAACTGCCAGCCCACGGGCAGGATGCCTCACGCCAAAACCGCACCCACCCCTTTGCCGGCAATGGGAAAAAAGTCGCAATACGTAGCAATACATCACATGACATCGCGAGTTTGACACCCGTGATTTATATGGTTACCTACTTACAAGATACCCTAGGTATCTAACATTAATATCAGCAAAAATACAAATAAAGAACATTCAAGAAAAGAAATAACTTTATAAACATTAAAAAAACACACATTTTAGCTAGGATACTTTAGCTATGTTTTGCTCTGTTCCAGTGATATCTTCTTGGAGGCCTGATCTAGGTCCACAATTGTCCTTTTTATTTAGCAGTAGTGCATACCAAAGGAGATATTTCCATTTTAAATGCTGTTCTGTGAACCTTATGGGGAAGATCATTCTCCCTGCATCTCATATTTTAGCTAGCAAAGGACATGCTAAGACAAAGTTGTGAACTTCTTGGTGCATCCTAAGCTTGGTTGTTCGCTTGCAGACATTTCATTATCCAACTGGGTAAATGAGTGTGGGCTTTGCTATCTTTTTATATGCTAGTTTTGATGGAGGTGTAGCTTTTTCCTTAGTTTCTTATTAGAGTATTGATTACAAATATCCCCTTCTATTGAGACAGTATTATTTTAATGGGTGTTCTAAATGCAGATGATGGAAATTGGCTCAAAATTGCACACAAAATGAATTTTAAATTTGGATAACAAAGGCACAGTAACTTTATTTACACTCCCTTAATTATCAGGTCAGTTGAAGAGTGCACTACAGAGAAGATTTTCACTGATCACCAACCAGCTGCTTTTGAGAGATTGGCCAATAGAAATATTAGTCCAGAATATTCATACACTAGTATGAATGTGTTAAAGAGTTGTGTAAACCTCAGTGTTTCTCTGTAACATCCAGTTCCTGAGCAACATACAATTGATATCAATACAAGTTAATAATCAGTTGAGCTCAAGTGCCAACATTTCAAGTGCCAAGAAATTTTGATGTTTTGATTCAACTCATATAAATACAATAGGAATGAATGTAAACTAAATGCATTCATTGGGATACACAAAATGCAAGGCTTCGCTGTGTATCTCTTGTACAAAACTGTTGAAAACTAAGCAGATACAATACAAATGTAAGGCAAAACATACTACTTCCTTCTTGAGCAGACTTCCTCCCCATCTCTCAGAATGGCTTGTCACCTTGATTTGGCAAGTCTTTGTTTGAAGTTATGATAAAACTCTTTCTTTCTTTTTTATTTAATTAGCTTCTGTCCATTTACAGTGACAAAAGATAAAAACTTACTCAAATCCAATGGCAGTACTGAACTGGAAGATACTGTAATATTAAAAAATAGGTACTGCATCCTATCATACAGATAAATCTTTACAAATAAGAAATTACAAATAAATTTGCATAAAAGTTCTTTATAGTTATTGTAAAGTATAATAGGAAATATGGACTTTGATTCTCCAGATACTCCTCCTTTACTCTTCCATGTTCAGTTAACAGATATCTTCCTCATAAATCACCTTATATTCAATGACAAATCTTATAGACTAAAACTAAGCAAAATGCAGCTGATTTTTAACTCTTTAGCCAAAAGTAAAACTTCTCGTCAATATTGTACTGAATTGAACTGGCAAAAAACAAAAGTTTCTTCTCTTCTTTTTCAGACAAATCAGCATTATCCAAATTGTGTTGTGATGCTTAAAATAGATTTGTTAATTTTACAGATTCGGAATGTGGCATCTAATCTCTGTATGGACAGTAAGCATGGTGGAACAGGCACTGAACTTAGACTAGATATATGTGTGAAGGATGGTTCTGAACGGACATGGTCACATGAGCAGGTATGTTGAGACAGCAAGTATATTTTAGGGTTGTTTTATTTTTTTCATGCATTAATCACACTAGATGCTCGTAGAATTATAGGGCTTGGAAGGAATCTTGGAGATATTCTAGTCTAAGCCCCTGCCTTATACTATCCTTGACAAATGGCTGTCCAATCTTTTCTTGAAAAATTCCAGCAATGGAGCAACCACAACCCTGGGAGACAAGCTGTTCCATTGTTCCCACTGTCAGGAAAATTCTCCTTAGTTCCAGATTGGATCACTCTTTAATGAGCTTCCACTCATTGCTTCTTGTCCTGCCCTCAGATGTTTTGGAGAATAACTCTCTCTTCTGTAAGTCAAAGCAGTCCTAGGCTGCATTAAGAGAGGGATAGAATTAAGATCACATGAAGTGTTAATACACTTTACAATGCCTTGGTAAGGCCACATTTGGAATATTGCATCCAGTTTTGGTCACCACGATGTAAAAAAGATGTTGAGAGTCTAGAAAGAGTACAGAGAAGAGCAACAAAGATGATTAGGGGACTGGAGGCTAAAACATATAAGGAACGGTTGCTGGAATTGGGTACGCCTAGTTTAGAATAGAATAATAACTTTATTGTCACTTTGAATGTACACTAATCGGCATACATTAAAATGAAATTTTATTGAATTCAGCTCTCAAAAGGATCACCACTCCTGATATACACTGCATAAATATGACAAAAATAAATAAATAAATAAATAAATAAATAAATACAGAATTATGCATACACCTAATATATTATATGACACTGAGAAACAACAATCTAGTTCGGTTATGTATACATGTGCATGGCAAGAAAAACGAATCTTGCAGGTTTACCAGATGGATGGTATAGGGAACAAAGCTATTACAGAATTGAGTAGTCCTGCTAGAAATACTTTGAAACCTCCTCCCACAGGGGAGCAACTAATAATAGACCATAAGGTGGATGTGTGGGGTCTCTAACAATGCTTTGAGCTCTAGCACTTACTGTATAAGCAGCATCCTGAATACCAGGGAGTGAGCTTCCTATGATCTTCTCGGCTGTCCTTACCATTCTCTGTATGGACTTTCTATCTGAGGCACTGCTGCCACCAAACCAAACAGTGATGCAGTTTGTTAAAATGCTTTCAATCGTGCCTCTGTAAAGTGGCCAGGACAGAAGGTCAGAGGTGTGCTCTCCTCATCCGACGCAGGAAATGTAGACGCTGGTTTGCATGCTTCACTAAGGATGACATGTGGAGAGACCAATTCAGATTGTTAGTTATCTGCACCTCCAGATACTTAATACTGTTGACCATCTCTACAGCTGCATCCTTGATACTGAGTAAAGTATGCTAAGCCAGCTCTTTCTGAAATCTACAATGATCTCCTTTGTTTTATCAACATTTAGAACCAGGTTACTTTTATTGCACCCAGTCCACCAGAACCTTCACCTCTTCCCTATAAGCATCTTCATTGTCATCCAGATAAGACCCACCACTGCTGTGTTGTCTGCATACTTCACTATATGATTCATAGCAGATTTGGCACAGCAGTCATGGGTCATCAAGGTGAATAATAGTGGACTCAGGACACAGCCCTGTGGAGAACCTGTACTCAAGGAGATGGAATTTGAAAGTTTCTTTCCAACTCGCACAACCTGGGGCCTATCAATAAGGAAATCAAGTATCCAAATGCATAAAGGAGTATTAAAACCTAATAGGCCCAGTTTGTTCACGAGATGCTGAGGGATGATTGTGTTGAATGCTGACCTAAAACCCACAAACAGCATTCATACATGAGTATTCTTCCCCTCCAGGTGCACCAAACTAAGATGAAGCACACAGGAAAGTGCATCTTCTACAGAGTAGTTCTTCTGATAGGCAAACTGTAATGGGTCAAATGTAGGGGGAAGGCATGAAATCATGTAGTCTTTTATCAATCTTTCAAAACATTTCATCATAATGGAAGTGAGTGCAACTGAACGGTAATCATTAAGGCATGTGATTTTAGTTTTTGGGAGCACTGGTATAATGATTGCAGTCTTAAAACATGATGGAATCACGGAGATTAAAGATGTCTGTTAGAACAGTGGCCAGCTGGTCAGCACACTCCTTAAGTACTCACCCAGGGATATTATCAGGACCCGCAGCTTTCCAAGTGTTGACTTTCCTTCTGAACAACAGTTGTATCAAATCTGAGCACCTGCTCATCAGGAAGGGGAACAGCCTTTCTTGTTGGAACATTGTTTGTGGTCTCAAACCATCCAAAAAACATATTTAACTTGTTTAGAGAGTCTGTGTCACCCTCACATGTCAGTGAAGCTGCCTTATAATCAGTAATTACCTGAATACCTTGCCACTTACGTCTCGGGTCCATAGAATCTTGAAAGAAATTCCGCACTTTCTGACTATAGGCCCGCTTTGCTGATTTTATAGCATGCTCAACTCAGTTCCTGCTATTCTAAATGCTGCCGCATCACCTGATTTGAAAGCTGTGTTTCTCACCTTCAACAGTGTGCAGACCTTCTGTGACATCCAGGGTTTCTCATTTGCTCGCATGATAATAGACTTAAGAACACTGACATCCTCCATACACTTTTGGATATAAGCAGACACAGTAGAAGCATACTTGTTCACATCAGTATGTTGTCCATTCATTGCAGCCTCTTTAAATATTGTTCCAGTTTGTGTACCCAAAACAGTCTTGTAGAGCTTCCATAGCTCCTGCAGGCCACACTCTCACTTGTTTTCTAATTGGTATCTGTTGAGTCCTCAGTTTAACAGCGAAAGAGAGGCAGACATGTTGTCAGTAACAGAACCTTTATTCTCTTCTGTTCTCCTCCGGCATAACTCTGAGGCTCGCAGGCCTCTCTCTGCTCTCAGAACAACCAGCAAAAGCCCGGGTAAAAAGGATACAACAGAACGGCGCGCTTGGCGCCTTGCGCATGCGTGCAGGCTGGCGCCGGTTTGTCTGGTCCCGGGCAACTTGCAGCAGCCCGTTACCATGACAACGTCTCGAGCCTGCTGCTGCAGGCTCAGGACACAACACCCCTTCACCCCCGGATGAAATTGCCCCACACCTGCATGCATATGCACACATATGTGTTCGCGACCTCTGATGAAACGTGTGCCTCAAACATCCACATGCATGTGGACTATTGAGGCATGGCCAGATGGCATCTTCAAGGGTACTGGCTATCATTTTGAATAATTAGCCAACACTCCTATTACTAGCAGGTTGACAACAACCTTACAAACTCCTCCAGATACTGTGGAGGTTGTTTGTTTCGTTGTGACCTCCTTAGGCCCGGGGAACCCCCAAGACTCCCTTGTATACTTGAGGCAACGGGGCTGACCCCTCTTTGTTGCCCTGTTGGTCCTGGTGACCTAGCTCCTGTTGCCTGGTCTGCTCGCTTGCCCACCGGGCTACACAGACCAGGACTTTGCTCCCTCTCGCATCGGAGTGATCTGTCCACTGCCATACTACCAGGGTCCTCAGAATGCCATCCCCCATCTATCGGAACTGTGGAGTTCTCCAAATCCACAATGGACCAATCTTGGGCACGCAGTTGTTCACTCCCAAGCCCTGTAACTGGGTTGTCTGTGGCTTCTGCAGTTCCCCAATAACCAACCACCCCTTGATCTGTGCTAGATGAACCAGAGTCATGATCTGCCTCTCCGGCTACTTTCCCTTGTACAGACTTCCTTCTGGGAGCAATTGCAGCATTTGGCCAGTTCCTTTGATTACATGCCAGCTCTCTTGTAAGATTTGAGTTATGAGGATGCTCCCTGTTAATCTCCCTGTCTGGAGTACTGTGTTGGTTTTGTGGACTGGGTGTCTCCCTGGCTGGAGTGTGTAGTGGTTGTTGTGCTGGTTCTTGTTCCCATGAATCCCTGTTGGGCACACTTGCGGAACCCTGAGATGAACCTTCCTTTGGCATCTCCTGGTCCCCCTCCCCCCCAGAGAAAACCCCGTCGTAGAAGAGGAAGAGTCCAGCCTTTTCCGCAGTTGGTCAATATGCTGCCGAAGAACGCGGCTGTCCTCCACGGAAACCTCATAAGACAGAGGCCCAGTAACCTTGCAGACCACCGCAGGAATCCAGGAATGACCAGGACCGTAATTCCGGGTCCAAACCGGAGCGCCCACTGTCAAACACCAAGGCGCCCGTGGCTGAGACGCCAATGGAGCCAACCTATCAGGATGCAACCTGTCCATTTTAGTGGTCAGTCTGCGACCCCAGCGGAGTTCTACTGGGCTTTTCCCAGTGGAAACAGACGGTGTGGTGCAGTGCGCAAGAAGAAAGTCGGCCAACCTGTGGTGCCAATCCCCGTAAGTCAGTTTCTTAAGGGCGTCCTTGGTGACGCGCACCATCCTTTCAGCCATGCCGTTGGTGGAAGGGTGGAAGGGTGCCGATGTCGCATGCCAGATCATATCGGCGTGAAGGAAAGCCTGGAATTCTGACGACGTGAAGTGCGGGCCGTTATCTGAAACTAAAACATCTGGCAGACCGCGAGCTGCAAAAATGCCTCGCAACACCTGGATGGTCCTGGCAGTAGTAGTGGAAGAGACAGGCACAACTTCCAGCCACTTTGAATGACTATCCACAAGCACCAAGAAGAATTGCCCCTGAAAAGGCCCAGCATAGTCCACGTGGACACGTGACCATTTATTTATTTATTTATTTTATTTTATTTAATTACATTTATATCCCGCCCTTCTCCTTGCGGACTCAGGGCGGCTGACCATGGCATAAGTGTTTCCTCCAACCTGTGTACTGGGGCCTGAGGCATCTCTGGCCATGAGCACATGGGCCTCTATATCCTTGTCTAGTCCAGGCCACCATAAGTGGCTGCGCGCAAGCGCCTTCATTCTGACCATGCCAGGATGGCCTTCATGGAGGGAAGTCAAGATTCTAGGTCTCAATGAGCTAGGAATAACCACCCTGCTGCCCCAAAGCAGGCAACTCTTAAAGGTGGATAACTCATGCCTCTTGAGCCAGAAGCTCTGGAAC